AGAGATGTTTTGCATCTATCATTAGTCGTTTTAGTCGGTGTTATCACCTGTGACCTTGACTTACGTGATAAAAAGTTATGTATGAAAAGATATCAACTAGTGGTGACTGTGGATGATGAAAACGTTTTTCGTACCGACGTCTTCGGAGGATCTGGCGTTGGCGACATACACATAGAAACCGATAAAGTAAAATATAGAGCTGGAGAAACGGGTAAGTCATACTTTCTAAATTTTTGCATTAAAAGAAAAAAAAAGTAGAGTAAACATCTGATCAATTTTTTTCAGTGGAAGTTCGAGCTCTTTCTATGACCAATGAGAGAGATTTTTATTCTGGTGATATAAAGTTCGGCCTTAAAGTGAGTTTCAGTGAATAAATTTGGAAAACAATTTTTACCTGGCATGTAACTTTTTTTTCAAATGATTAATAGTTGATGATTAGCTTTTCAAGAAAAAAAGCAAGTAGCAAAAAGACTAAAGAATTAATGCTTTATCAGTGAACTAAAAACCAGTTAATTTTCTCTTACTTTTTTGTTTTTCAGAATCCTGATGGTTTTACTATTACAACCAAAAACAGAACAAATTTAGAAAGATTTCTACCTATCAACTTTACCTTACCACAACGTGCTCGAGTTGGCAAATGGCAAATTACTGCTCAGGCGGAAGGCCGTCTAGAAGCACAAACCTTTTCCGTACCGTTTCTTGTTGCTGATTACGGTAATTCAAGTGTGCTCTACACTCAGCAAAACTTAGACTATTCTAATATCAAAGTTTGCATTAAGATTAACAAATTTTATTGTTAACAAGTATATGATTAGTGATAAATCATTTTCAGAACTGCCGCCTCTTAGTCTGATCATGTCCAGCGCCGAAACTGTTTTATTGAATGTCTACAAACTTCAAATTTATGCTAAGTATGTAAAAAATTTTTTATACAAATCAAAAAAATTTTTGAATTTTTTTTTGTTGATTTGTGATTTTTCATCTTGCAAAAAAAAAAAAGCGATTTAAGACCTCGTAACAAAAAAAAAAAAAGCTTTTATCAGATTTTTACTCGTTATTTATTCTTTTATTTTTTTTATCGAACTAATTTACTTAGTGAATTTTTAGAAAGATTAGTTGCAAAATTAAAGTGTTTACACCTAAGAGTTTATGTGTCTATTTTCAGTTTGAAGTCAGCAGGGCAAGGAAGCAGTGCTTTTTGTAGCAAAATTCAGACAGAAAAAAGAGTAGTTTTTTTTAACTTATGTTTATCGCTTTTATTATGCTTCCTGATTCTAATTTCCATTACATTAAGTGATAAAATTTTTAGAAAATTTTTTGCCAACTTTATTCAGTATCTTAATCTTTAACCAAGCAGCTAAATAATGTTTTTTGGATGAGTTATAATAACAAATCAAACTGTTTTCTAGTTCTGCAGCATTACTTTCATCAGCACTGTCACAACGACCATTCTGCTAGTTTTATTTTTCGTTTTCCACGTTTTTTGAAGCTCTAATATAAAAAATTTCTTGTTGTACCAAATCAGTTTTCCAATTTTCAATTTATTTATTCGTCAAAGAAGGCAGGCAGATTCCTAATAGATAATCCAACTGTTGAAGTGTGTGTGTGTGTGTTCAGTTTTATGATGAAAATTTATGAAAATATGATTCAATAAGTGCCATAAAAGAAAATGTATTAAAATATGTAAAGAAAAAAAAGAATGTGTTACAAGTTTTCAAAAATGTATTAATTGTGTAAAAACAAAAAAAGGTGTTTAGTATGAGTGGTATTTTTAGTCAACAGAATAGCCATTACTCAGTTTTTTTTTTTTTTTTTTTTTTTTTTTTTT